GTCATATTGATCTGAGTAGTTAGGACTTCTGATTTGTATTCTGGTGGTCCCAGGTTCAAATCTTGGCATGAAGATTGGCTGGTTTAGCCTAAAGAAGGATCTATGGAAAGTAAACTGTCACTATCTTGAGGTTTTCCATGGTTTTCTTTAGTTTCCCTAGGAAAATGCCAGGATAGTACCTTAAACTAGGCCACGACTGCTTCCTTGTGCATCCTTTGCTATTCATTACTCATTTTGTGCTATATAACAAGATTTATTAACAGCTTCATTAAATGAACACTGAATAAATAAAAATAAATATGCATTTTGATCATTTGCTTCCAGCAGCATGTTATAGCATTGTCAAACTGTGAACCAAAATTGATGTTTTTTCTTGGCAATTCTGGGCTCTGAGAATAGGAACTTATTGTTACTGAACACAGAGTGCTAAAGCAGGCAGGTTCATATGTGAACTGTAGGAAGGATGGGTCTGTATCTGCAGCCATGTCAAAATATAAAATCAATTAGAATTGCATGACAAGGAACTTAAATGATTCATATTTGATTTGTAATACACTGGAATGGAATGGATTAGACAATAAGAAACAGACAATTTTGAAAAGAAAAGATCTGAATACCAAAATGTGGATTGGAGGTTAATATGAAGATGGGCATGTGGAAGTAATTTTTTTGCATGTGAACTAGACCGAGTTCACTCAGAACACAGTGAAGTAGAAGACTTTTATTTTGTTAATTATTAATCTTTAGGTTCTATCAAGAGTCAGAACCAACACCTTCATTTTCTTCTCCTTTTCATGCATTAGATTACTGTCTGTTATGTCTCCTGCTGATAACTCCCTTATTGTGAAAATCAAATATTAATCCAAATTCCAGTGTTTGCCACTTTATTTGTTTATTTCCTATACACTCAAATTACTTCCAATCAGAACGTGCCTAAAATAATTAAAACTGCTTCCTTAAGACAGCAGTTCTGAGAAGCTATCAGAAATAATCAGTCTGAAAATTACTTCTTGACTAAAGAATGAAAATTTATATGTGAGTAAATTAAAATTGTCTGTGGCTGACAAAAGTATTGCACAAGCTATCAAGTGTCAATGTTTTCAAACCCTACATCAAAATGACAAATGGATTTATTTATGCCACAAGTAGTGTCTGGCATAAATACAAAATAATTACATGACACAAGACACTTTTCTCAAGGATTAATGCAGACCATATCTGGTATCAGTAATCAGATATCATGACATACAAGGATACTGGGGTGCATTTTAGTGAACTTCCCACTCACTCCTTGCAGTATAATACAGATAAACATAATTTATTTGGTAATTTAAAATCAATGAACATCAAAGACTAAAAAAATGCCTCTATTGTTAATGTAGTGCAAAACTTCACAATTATTAATTCAATTATGCTATATAAGACATAATAATTGGTGGTACAAGAATATAAGTAGAGTATGTAGTTACCGCTGGTAAATAACATTGCCAGTATTACTCTATTCATTTATAATACATTCTCAATGTCAATTACCACACTTTTAAATACTTGGATTGCACTTTCTGGTAACAAATCCATCAGAAACTCCCATTTAGTCCTGCACAAAATTCTCACAGATATATTCCCAGCCAAAATTTTTACTTACTGATATCAGAGAATACATACACAAAGGAAGGGCCAATGTTTGGTTAATTTACAAAATAAAGTTCAAGTAAAATGAGTCACATCATATTTAAAGAGCAAGTATATGTCACATTAACACTGATATCCACCACAGTGCATGCAAAAAACACTGGTATTTATATACAACATTCACACATAATGATGTTTCACATCATTGAGCTTCATTCCAGCATACATTTCTGGTTAAATGTTCATTACATATCAGGATCCCTGTATTCTAGTTTCCATTTTCAAACAGTGTGTTGTCACAACTCTCACAAGCTGGGCCATACATTTAAATGATGCAGTCGGAAAATTATAGAAACAAAATAAAATCTTATAAACTAATATCATTATATTGATGTCTCACCTTATCCTTGGAAACTATTTTTGACAGTAAAATGATTCACATTTCTTTCAGTTATTTCCAGTTCCTTAAGGCAAAAGAATCATTGCAAATGCAATGTTTCTCATAAGAATAGGATAATTCAGCAATTTTGTCTAAACATCTTATTGTCACTGGATGTTTTAATTACATACATCAGCCATACATATGCCAATTCTTCCCTTTAATAAATTTCTCCTTTTAAACAGAGGTAAATGAAATTCTCCATAACAGTTGTGAATTAAAAACTGGGTTTTTCTAAAGAAATAAAAATGGATTCTGCCTACCATGTCCTTTTCAGAACTTCATGTTGTCCATAATACATTTATTTACTCAACTTTCATTCTGAAATTTCTTACTGAAAAGTTACAGTTAAACCTTGTTAGATACTGAACAATTAAAATACTGCAGATAATAAAGTCCCAAAACTAATTAGGCTTCCTCATTCCCAGGATGTGTAATTCAAAAGATACCTAGACAAAAGTAACCAACTATGATCAGATTTGGTGATTAACAAGTGGTTAACCTAATATTTCTGACTAATCATCAGTATTACTGGAGAAAGTATAGTGGCAGGTGAAGTGATATGCACAGGCTGTATATGGATATCTCACATGAATGACAGTTAAAACATAATGACCTTTCTGTGATTTTAAGTACTGTAAGTACTGGATATTTATACTAATAGCATTTGTGTGGAGAGTTAATTTCATTTCACTTCTGAGAATCAATGATCTCAGTACATCCCTGCTTGTAACTGGTAGCATAACCGAGTAACTCAAGAAGAAATGCAGTCAAAATAATAATAACTACCTCTGTACACTGTAGATCCAGTTACCACACTACTATAACATGTCAGTGCTTCTTTTATTTGTTGTAGTGCGGCATCCTGATAAATTCATACACAGAAACAATAGTCTGCATGACAGGATGTAACACGTTATAACCGTAGTTGCTGTCCTGTTACTGCATATTTCACAAATTTTTTGCTTTGTATGTGACCAAGGGTGAAGTCCCCTGAACTTCCAGCTAACACGGTTTTACTGAATTCAGGATTTAATACATACTCTTACTACATATTTCAATAAGCTCTCCATTTAAAGCATAAGATTAAATAAAATTTTCAGATCAGATTCTATGACTCTCATAACAGTTGCAAATTTATATTTACAAATGAGCTTGTGAAGACAACAAACCAAAATCTATTTCACAGAGTAAAAACTGTACTGCCAAAGTTGTACTAACAAAGTTGTTACTTCTTGTAGCATGCATAATTGAGCATGTTGCTATATTTTAATAATTTTCCACAAATAAATAAATTTTATGACAGACACTTATATTCGGTTTCCTGCATTCTTAGATTGTTCTAAAGATGACAGTTCTTGAGAACAACATTTTTCTCAGTTTAGGTGAACCTAAAACAATGTGCCAGTTTAATAATTATTTTTAACAATTCTATTTGTGCACTGAATCTATGATTCAATGCGCTTTGCATTATTCATTTCTAGAATAAAATAATTAAATAACACAACGAAATGTAATGAAACATTGTGTAAGCCTATATCCATTGCCACAATATGCCTGTATGAAATTGGACTTTAAATTACACACATCTATGGGGGAAGGGTTATACAGCAATGTTGGCTATTGCACCTAGCATTAAAATCCTATATTATTCCCAGCAATTTGAGAATTTCAATTAGAGAAGCAGAAACTTTCTCTGAATAACCAAAAATATGCTTCAGAAAAATTCTTTACATTTTAATTTCATTTGTCTTTGTGTCCTGTACAAAAACCATTCCATTCAACAACTTATTTGCATCTGCAGTTTCAGTTTGTGTGTGATTCTGTCAGTATTTTAAAGCATCCACAAGACAAAATAAAAGTTTTTAAACTGCTGCTCTATTTAATTCTAGAAGTGGGAGTATAAATTCCTGTAATGGCAGAACAGCAATTTCTTTCTTAGATACATACAGTAAACAGTTCTATTAGGACAGCAAAATGTTTTGTATTGTACATAAACACAATGAAGAAAATGTCCTGTGCAATAAAAATGGGAAATTGCTAATATTACAACTATATCACTAAACATTCAATAATATATAGAATTCTGAATTTACATTAATGGAAACAAATTACAAGGAGTGTGCATATCACTTTCACACACAATATAGGACAGGCAGTAAGTCATTCTATTCAACAAAAGCAAAGCATTGAAAATCTTTCAGAATAAGCAAAATATTAGTGTAACATACACCTAATATGTAAATTGCCTGCATGTAAGTCTCCAGTCTTGTTTCTGGTTGGTGGCCTGTGCTTATTATGAATAAGTTCAAAGTATAATGAAAAAGTGTACAGTGAAATCTCATTATTATACCCTTATATGAAGTTTTTAAAATAAAGTATTTTTATTTTATTAATTTCTTTCTGATCTCCTATGCAAACAACAAACAAATAATTCAGTTTAATATTTAATGTACAGCATGTTACCTGACGAGAAAAACTTTTCTGCACACCAGTGCATTATTTTGTGTTCAGTACCAAGTACAAATTTTTATAATTTCAATGGAAAATAACATGCAATAAGCATCTCAAAATAATCTTGCCTGTGCAATCAAATATTAAAAGCTAGTTGATAAATAAAGTATTTATTAACTGAGCCCAACTAACACTTGCTGCAAGAAAATTTATGTTGTTCAAGACTAACAATAATGAATGAAGAGAAAAGTGTTTCAAAGCATCTAATAAAAATATATTATACAAAGCTTCAACTTCCTTCTTCCCCAACATCTGTGAAATTCAGAAAAGTTAATAATGTGTAAGCTCTCCAGTATTTACATATGACTGTTCCAGACAGCAGGCTTAGTTCAAAAAGGAATGCATATGCATATACAAGTGACATAACTGCAGGCCTTGGAGTGAGCTGTAAAGTGTGTGTGTGGTGGCGGGGG